AGGATCATGACCTGAGCCGAAGGCAGTCGCTTAACCAACTGAGCCACCCAGGCGCCCCAATCATTTACATATTCTAATGGCTCGCTGGCCATCGGACAGATCATTCATATGGTGACTGAGAAGATCTAGGTATGCATTTCCCACTATTCTCATCTCCACCCTGCGTGATGCAGCTGCGGCTTCAAGTCCTCTCGGCTTGAGGAAACATTAAGAGTACATTATTCTAGGGCGCCTGGGTGGCACAGTGGGCTAAGCATCCGACTCTTGGTTTTGCTTCAGGTTGTGATCTCAGGGTCGTGAGATCGAGCCCGGCATCGGGCTCCATGCTGGGTGTGGAGTCTGCTTAAGATTCTCTCTCCCTCTCCCTCTGCCTCTGGTGGGAGGCCACCACATACTCTCACTCTCTCAAATAAACCTTAAAAAAAATGGAGTACATTATTCTAATAGGAGTCATTTCCGGGGTACATTTCCTTTGGACCATTCCCAATCACTAACAGTGGTGTTCATGTGCTGTGTTCTAAGAGGATCTTCCCAGTTGCTTTGGCCAGTCAGTATCTTCTTCACTGATGAGGATATGGAGACAAACTACCAGGAACGAATCTTAATGTGAACAGACGGTATCCTAATGATGCACTCCGGAATTATAGCCCTATAATGCCAACCGCTCCTCATTCAAGATTGGTTTCTTGAAAGAAAAAAAAAATCACCTCGATTCAACTGGGCCAAAATACAGTAAAAATCCCAAGTCAGGTACCACTGAGCAACCATGCCTTTAGAATGGGACTCCACATCTTTAGGGATCCCTCAATAATGTAATTGACCAAAAAAAAGGGGGGGAAATCTCTACTCATATTTGCTTCCATATGCATAAGGAAACTTTGGAAGAAGCCAAAGTGTGTGTGTGTGTGTATAATCAACTAATAATTTAGTGAATTTAGAGTATGGGGTAACTGGACAGGTTGGATGGGGGAACAGGAGGGAAACTTTCACTCTATACCTTTATGTAGCTTTTGGTTTTTAAACCCTGTCATAACATTACCTAATGAAAAGCTAAATTAGACAAGTAAATATTACATGGATTGGCCTTACTGATGGGCTGGTATTCCTAGATTACCACAGGTTATCTTTCAGAGATTTTTCACCTCTGTAAGGGCTTCCAGAAGAAAATAACTAGAAGAGGTTAAAAGTAGAAACTGAACTTGTACAATAAAGTGTATCCCAGAACGCACAGCTATATTTTCCCCATGAGGTTCTAAGTTGAAAAAACAGTTCTCAGTCCTTGTTCCCATATTTCAAGGAAGAGAGAAAGTTGTATTTGGTAGTTGGGCATTTGCTCGAGAATGAGAAGGTGCACGTGCAGGCCTCCTCTCGCAGATCCGGTCACTGACTTGCCACCCTTTAGCTCTGCAAGTGGACGTATTCTGCAGACACCAAAGGGCAAGCAGAATTTTGCATAGCATCACCAACATCTATTTTCATGCCGGTTCTAGAATCACAAATGACAAATTCTTCTTCACGTAAGCTGTTAGGTTTCTAACACGCAGGAACGAAAGTTTTACAATGTACATCAATGCTTTGTACTTTGTCTTTTATCAAAAGTAGGTGCTAATTACGGACTGTTTTTGAAATAAAATGTAAATCGAAGAGTCGTTAAAATGTTTTTTTCTTAAGGTACAGGGTGGTGAAGTGTTGGAAAGAAAAAATAATTTCCAAATGACTTTGTAAAACACAGTCACATGCTATTAACTGGGACTTTGGAAAAGTCAGGTCTACCAACAAAGCTTTTATTCTACCTCATACTCTGAACTCTTAAGATTTTAGAATATTCAACTTGCCTTTATTCTTTTTTGGGGGGGAACGTGGTGCAATGGTGAGCCTGCCGGCTGGTTAGAAGCCAAGAGTTACCCAGTCAGATCTGAATGGAAAAATCTATGATTTGTTTATTTCATAGTTCAAGTTCAAAAGCAAGAGACAATTTAAATAATAAAAGGGTAACAGGAAAAAATGCAAAGAAAGAAAACAGTGAGAGTCCAGAAGAACCTTCAAGAATATTTAATTCGGAAAATGTTATTGGTGTAGAGAAGCTGACTGAAAGAAAACAGCTGGGCAGAGTTCAAGGTTTTAAATTAAAAACAATCTCACAAGGTCTACGGGGATAACTCTTTGAGCCACATTTTGGAGACCAGATTCATTTCTACCAAGTCAAAGTAATAGCAGTCTAAGCTAAAAAGGAAATTCCTCACAACTGAGGTAGTTACTAAGTATCAGCACATTTTCCAAGTTCTCACAAGGCAGCTTAGCTATTTACAATACATTTTTCCTCATACATAAATGGAGCACCTTTTCAATTTTAGGTCTTCTGTGATTTGTTTAAAAAAAAAAACAAACACTTATACACACCAGCCAGAATATGCCTATTTTATTAACATCATGCTTTAATAAATAACTGGCTACTTCTAATAAAATTAAGCCTCTGTTTACAACAGCCCCCAATATTCCATGTTGACCATTCTTGCAGAATTTGGTGTGAAAAGCTGAATGAAATGTAGACCCTGAGCTATCAAGTAATTACGTTTCAATATAAAAATAGAGAATTAGTCTTACAACCAAAGATGGAACAGGAACACAAACCACCTCTCTGTGGGTGTTAGCTTCTGTGGAATCGGAGATCTCAATGGCTGTCTCAAGCAGGAAGAGACTTGCAGCGTTTTCTCTTTTTGAAGACTTTTTGGGAACTCCTTTTTAAAGGGAGCCGTTACCTTCTCATAGTTTTAGAAGCTGTCATTTGGTAAGGATACAAGGAACGGGGTCCTAAGGGGCCAAGG